AATTCATGCAACAACTGTTAAAGCATATGCATTGCATTTGTCACTGTTTTACCATAAGTGAACTCTTGATTTAAGTTCCTAAGAGTAGAATGAGTATTACTGACAGTACTTACTCTTAAGAGAGAGTCCCATATGCAAAGAACTCTACCATCAGGCGACCAAGCCAAGTCAGCCAAATCATTTGTTTCCACCTCAAAATGCTGAAATATTGAAGTTTATTAACATTCAGCATAGATATAAACAATAAAAATGAGGAAAATATTAATGTTCGTCTCCTAAAAACTTAGCTTAGAATTTTCACATCAATGGTATTTACTACAGTAAACTGTAGTATTCTTGGTTAAGTTAATATTCAAGCATATAATAATTGTATCCTGATAGCTTCTGAAAACTGTTTCAAAAACTACACACTGACATGGTCAATTACAGTTATGCGAATCATCTTTTTAATTAGTAATTTTGCCATTCATGTATATGTACCTTCACTAGCTGCCATGAAGAGCAAGCAAATATACTTATACAATCTTTGCAGTTTCTTCTTTCAGCTAAAGCCATATATTTACCATCTTTAGAAAAGTCAAGTCCTGAGAATAAAGATACATTTATTCAGAATTAAGGTATAAGTTTCAGATTAAATTAATTGCATAGTTGGTAAAAACAATCTTTGACTAATTTGACTGGCATTTCCCTTTGTTCCAACCAACATTTTCAAAATTATTAAGAGATTGAACTACATATTTCAATCTAAAATCTGTTTAATCAAGAAAATAAAGGTATGCCATCACACTTTCAAAATTAATACACTTGAAAACATTTTTGAGACATTCTACTGTACATGTGGTACTGCAAAACTTAGAGCAATTACAGTAGGGGACCACACCATTATTTTTATCAATAACATGGCAAGTTGAAATACAACTTACACTACATATGATGATAATTTGGTTACTTTCAGTAAAAAGTCATCATTGCGCAGATATACATTAAGAATTACCTGCATGTGCATGCTTTGGATACTTGATGTAACTGACAGATTTGCTAACCAGAGACCAGACAGAAATTCTCAGCTAAAAAGAAAAGAATAAAATAAAGTAGCCCACAGCATTAGGCAGTAAAGCAGCTCCTCTAAGAAGCAAGAGTCAAGCCAGTAATAAGCATGCTGATATCTTGCTATCACAGGTAGAAAAACAAATTTGGCAACCACGTTTGCAGTGAAAGTCATTATTTTGGTGACCTGTGTTCAATGCTGTGTAGTTTGCTGTATCACTAGTATTCTTGATACTCTTTTTGCTAAGTGTTCATGAATGGTTTAAAGTCAAAGAGATAAAAATACTGGTACAGAAGATTTTGCAATATTCTATGAATTTCAAATTTTTTTCCATTCTATTCTTTTTCTGCCACACCACTTTAAATTTATTATGGTGAATTTGATAAAAAAATTCACCTCAGAGCCCTTGTTATACCTCACTTTTGGGAGGCTACTAACAAGCTAAAAACCTCCACCCAGATCCAAATTCGTAGTACGGTACTCTGTAAACTGATCTACTCTGATCTTCTTTGTGAAAAAGATCACATAACTAGTTCATGCCTGACAATCATGAAGACATATGTTTCTTTAAATCATCACTGATCAATGGCAAAAAATTTCCCCTGTTAGAGCCACACACCTGAAAATCTGCGGTGGATAGAATGTGTCTTCCATCAGGACTCCATCTAACAGCAGTCAATCCCGCTAATCCCTCATCAATCTTACAAGTCCAGTCTGGTTTCTCTAAAGACCACACCTGATGGTATGTTTAAATTTTAAAACGTACTATTTGATGGCAGTTATTGAGAAAAATTTAAAGTAAAGAATGGATGGATATTTCCCCATAGAAACAAAAACATTTCAACTCTTAAATCTGGTCTAACATTCTTTGACTGGTATGTGCTGTAATAACTTTCTAATTCAGAGCTTCCATAATTCCATATTTTGGCAAGCTCAGAGCTTTAAGTCCTGTATTTGTTACAGATTGCCCCAGCATGTTTTTGAGGTGGTTGAGTAAATGTAGCATCTATTTCTACTTTAGAAGTGTTTCCTCTTTTTTCAACAAATTTTTTTATTTTTTATGCTTTAAATCATTTTCTTTAACATAATTTCACAAAACATATACAAACATTAATCAATCATGAACAAAAGACAACTACACGAGGGTAATGGATCTACTCTTCTCTTACATTTATCTCTTCTCAGTCTATCAAATCAGAGACTGTACTTATTCCTAACTAAAACAACATAGAAACATACTTGAACTATTCCTCTCTTTAACATGCCACAAAGTATGTACAGGGAATCAGAAGACCACTACAAGGGAAATAAAAATAAAAGTAGTTTGTCAAAAGCTGTCCAATCTTTCAATCCAGGAGTGACCAAGACATACATGTAATTTTTCCATATAATATCATTAATTGAATAAAGAGATATTTCAGTTAGGGATTAATATTTGATCCAACAGCAAATTCTCTGAAATAACATTGTAGGGAATCTATGGAATATATGATTGCTAGGGTAATGATGCTGCACTTTCAAAATACACCACCAGGATTTGATAGTACGTGTTGATGTATCAACTACACCTGCAGTTCTTCTATCATATATAAATGATTCTCAGTACATTAAATTGTAGTCACGAAAGTGACGAATCATGTAATTTACATACTTCGCGCCTCAGCTCTAATGAATTCGAACTTTACCTCTACATGTTGTACAACATCTAAACAAGTGTAGAGTTGGAGAATCTGGAGGGTTTTGATATCTCTGACAAGTAATCGATACTGGACACAACTACCCTGGTAACGAAAAAAAAGTTTGTTAGTACAGCGTGAACAAGATCGAAAGATGTTCTCTCCCTAGAACTTACCAAGTATTTGCCATTTGGTGAAAATCTACTCAGCTGATTTGTCTGCTTAAACAGTTCTGAAAAGTTCATCTCGACTTGTATACAAACAGCTTAGTGCATGATTTACATCGAAACGTCGCGAAATTTCAAACATCGCACTCGCGCAAGAAGTGGTTTAATAATTCGAAGAAACCCGCCATAATAAACTCAGTAACCAGGCTTTATACTCTCTTTACTGCGCATAAGTTTCATGTAGCCCGCTGAGCATAACTACTGTATGGTCGCTCCTTAAGAAAATACGTGTTTTTATTCTACTGGGTTTAACATTGGCAGCAGCAAAATAACACTTTTTCAATACGATGAAGCTAAAAAATTTCTTCAAAAGCATCCCAACACATATGGTTTGTTTATATTTGAATCGCCCTCACACTATGTTTTCTCTTTAGCGATCTGAAATGTGAATTGTCAGTACATATTTATTCAACGAACCAACAATATTTCTCTGTTGCTACAGGACTATGAAGGACAGAAACTAGCAGAGCGACTGTTCCATATCATAATCCTGTTCTTTGGTGTAAGTCACATGTCAAATTACATGTATTGTTTGATAATACGGTTGATATATGTTGGATTATGATATGTACCATGTGGTATTGCATCGATCCCGAGATGGTTAAATTTCAGGGGAAGTGCAGATTTCACCCCTTTCTCCTCCCCAGAGCCACTCGTTTTAACCTTCATGTACCTTGATGAGAAGAATGATAAAAACTTCTTTTTTTTTTGGTTGATAGAGCAGGTTTTAATTTAGTCTTGAAAGTAATCAGGGATTGTTTTGTTTGTGCTTTTAACTTTACTCTTTGATTGGTTTATAAAACTTGTGCCACCTGACCTTCACCAATCACATGCGAAACCAAAACCAATCATTATACTTGTTCCTGGGCTTTAGGCATTTTGGTCAGTTTTACTTTGAGTTCTTATTGGCTCTTAAACATAAATTCCTTTGTTCTGACTTTCCATTATGATTACTTTGCATTTGGTTTCACATGGCCTAATCAAAAACTGCCCTAAAAAAGGGAATGTGCACCAAGAATTAAATCACAGAGTACTCAGATCCCTGTCACCTAATGAATCTTAAAATTTGATTGTTGTCGTCTGAGTCGAGAGTATACATCAATGTTTTAAGCTGAAATAAAGTTTTTGAATGGAAATGAATCCAACCAAAAGCCAGAAAGATTTCTTTATAAGTTAGAGCCATTGAACTTGGTAGTAGATTCAGAAAGTTTCAGGTAGAGTGTATATGTAAATTGTATGTCGATGACCAAGAGGGAAAGCTTAACCAGACATGGTCTGTTTGTGAGTCCTTGTGAAATGAAAAGTAGACAATTGAATTTTCAGTGTGTCTTGATTGGAATATCTGAATGAAATAAAATGTAGATGCAGTGATGTAGTACTTTTCTCCCAGTACATTGTAGAGCATCAGTGTTGGAATTTGTATCAGTGAAATTTTCTTAACTGAAGTTCATTGATAATTCCTTTGATCTGTGGTTTATTTGGGTGCTACCACCAACTTAGCTAAGTTGGGATCAAGGCAAACTCTGGAGGGTTCTTCACTCTCGTGGATTGGCCTGCCTGTGACAGTCTTAGGTGCCTTTCAAGCCTCTTATATCATCATTTTGTGAAAAAACTAGTCAATGCTCTTCTTGTACCTTTTTTCTTAAGCCAAATGTAGCATTCCTTTCTGTTCACTTTACCATTCTGTCTGTATATTTATTAAATTGCACATGTTCTGTTATTCTCTTTTTAACAGGTGGTAGGCTTTGCTTGGGGATATTACATACAACAGTTCGGCGCAACTATAATCATTCTAGCAGCTGGATTTATAGTCAGCTGTTTGGTAAGTGCTGAAAAATTTCCTCAAGGTCCTTTAATGCTCAACTTGAGTGCATGTAAGCAATTAGTTTTTCCTCTTTTAGCTCAGCTGTGTACTCATTAAGATTGACTACATGCAAACAACATTTACAATTTTTAACACCTTTCATGATCATCATGTGCAATTAAAACCTTTCAAGAGGATTTACGAGATTCTTCACTGAAATCTTCCCAAATTCCCCGCTGGGGGATCTAAATTTATGTAGTGTTAGTTAGAAATAAATTACTGTGGCAGAGGAACAAAAAGTGGTTTTAGTAAGTAACAGAGAGGAAAAATTGGGACTTTAAAAAAAAATGGTACATCAATCTGGGGATGGAAGGGAGCAAAGATGCAGCTGTTGCATACACCAAAAAGCACAGCTCTTGAATTTGCAAGTGTTATCCATCAACCCTGACCCATACAGCAAACCCATGCTCCCTTGCAAGATGCCTGCACTACTGACTGTATGTACTGTGTGATATTTTTCAGCTGGTGTTGCCTCCATGGCCTATGTACAGAAGAAATCCACTGGACTGGCAGAAGCCACGCCCAGAGAAAGCAGACACGAAAAAAGAAGGAGGAAAAAAGAAGCAAAAGTGAATCCTAGATTACATTCTGGTAGAGCTAGCTTTGTAATAAATTATTAAAATGTACTACCAAGTGATAAATGTCTGTTTATGTGACTTACTTACTTTATACAATGATATGGATTTTGGTAAGTTGTAAGTTGATCAAAATTTCGTACATTGTAGCCAAGAATTATAACTGAATATGGTAGGAGAATTTATCTGCCAACCCAAAGTTTCCCACAGTCCTGACTTTAATCTCATATACTGTGGTGTGCATCATTTTGGCCATGATAATCATTACTGAACACAACTCATCTTTCTTCTCTGATAAAGCAGTTGAAATGGTATTCAGAAAAAAAAATTCACCATTCTGTTTGTTGCATTGCAGACAGCATATACATATACTCAAAATACTCTTATGAAGCCTAAATGGGAAGAGATGGGTTATCAGGATCTAAATTGAAACATGCTAAAGAATTTGAGGAACTGTTATTGTTCTTTGTAGCATTAAACCTCTCTTCACACCAGCTGTTTTTCAGCTTTATATATTTGTAGTCAAACAGTTGCCTGATCAGTTTGTTAAATTATATATATATAAATATATATAATTTACATTTATACAGTAGATATTATATATAATTATATATATATGCACAGGAGCCTCCAAGTCACAAATTTTCAATCTGGCAAAACTTTGATACTGCATGTTACATTGAGTGTTTGAGTATAAGAACTTGAATTTTACACATGTTGTCTGTTTGTGTTAAACCATTCGCATGTTATGTGTTAAAAATCGGTCGATAGATGTGCTTGGTCGAGAGTGCGCTAATATGATTGTAAAGTTTGCCACTGGTCCTTTTTTTTTTCAATTTTTTTTTTCTTGAGGAATCTTTCATGAAAGCAATGGAGAACATTTTCGGTATTTACATAGCCTTTTATTGACACTAGGAGGGTTGGGAGAATACTGACTAAAGCTAATCAAACCTCTGACTTCGTCAAGAGTTCGTGTGACAACACCTGCACGCATGAAAATGAGGAAATTTCGAAAAATAAAATAAAAAAAAAACATTGGCATCGTTTAAGAAAAAAGAACAGAGATAAAAGCTGATTAGTTCGGCTTCTTGTTAACCCTTTAAATCCCACGAGTGACCAAGACAGAATTTCTCCTAACAATATCAATACAATATTAAACTGACGAGTGATGAGAATAAAGAAAAATATCAGTCAGGAGATTATAAGTTGATCCAATCCCAAATTCTCCAAACTAGTATAACAAGAACTGTATGAGAGACAGTAAGGAGAATTACTAATGAGATGTTGGAAGTTAAAGGGTTAAATACTCCTCATCTCTTGTTTTTCGGCAGATGGTTGAGATAATTTTCTGCGAGATTCAATTCATTCTCTGCTCAATCAGTGGGGCAAGCCTATACTGTAAACAAAAGAAACTTTGGTCACGAACTACTTGGATCAGATGAAATACTCTCAAACTCTCGCTTAATTTTTTTACTGAAGGGAAATCTATTAGTTTCCCTGGAAAACCTGCCATTTTCAACTCTTTCTTTTTACACTGTCTCAGCCTCCTCATTTTCCAATTAACCATTCCGTCCCTTTTCAATAATAACTTCTAATTTATCAAACTAAAACTCGATTGGATCACGGAAAATCTAGTTTTCAGTATATTTAGCCACATTTAGAGGCTTGGCTCTCTTATAGCAGTTGCTTTTGCCTCTAGAGATTTGGTTAGTGCGAGTCATGAAATAGCTTTAATCGGTGCATACCCGTGTTCGAATGTGACTGCCCCGATTACTTTGAGCATCACTACCGCGACTACTTGCTCCTTCCTCACCGTAACCGCCGTCACCGGCAACCTTTTTGTGATTCTCGCCGTCATCTTCGATCCAAATCGTACTCTACGATCGCGAGTTAACTTCTTGGTGGCAAATTTGGCTGCTGCAGATTTAATATGCTCTTCCACTGTCAGTGGAATTTCACATTCGTGAGTCGATGTCTCATCTTTCAATTGCATCGACACCTCTGCAGCGAGACCATGCTAGACGCGTAGCCTACTTCCTCTTGTACACACCATCGTTACTGAGCTTGGCTGCATTGACCAGAGATCGATTCATCGCCATAAAGGAGCCGTTAAACTACAGAACGGAGATGAACCAGAAACAAGCTGCCATGGTTTCACAAGTCATTTGGGTTGTTTCCTCTGGTCTTCCATTTGTTTACTTTCAGATGGCTACTTGAAGTATTCCTTTGTATTTGTGAATACAGCTGTAGTAACAACTTTAATCGCGTTGTGTGTCACAAACGCCAAGGTCTCCAAACTTTTTAAATGTCGAGTACAAAACTGTGGCGCTCTGCATGAGGGCGGAAACAACGCTAACAACATGGCCAAGATACGGGCGATCGAATGGCAGAAGAGATTTACTAAAACATTTCTGATCATGTTGGCTCTCTATGTTTGCTGTTTCCTTCCCATCCTGATTCTTGTCTACGTGTTTAGTTTCTGCGTCTACGTGATTAGTTTCTGCATAAATTGTACCTATGCTTTCATTCACTTGGCCAGAGATATTAATTCTAACTTAATCAAAGCGAACTCAAGCGTGAATCCTTTCGTCTTTACATGGCGACTGGAACGATTCCGCAAAGCTTTTGTTAAAATCTTAAGTTGCAAGAGGTTGATTCAAAGGGAAACCATGCCTTCAACAGCTGTGTAGGAAACCCGCCGGGTTTAACCCTTAAGAGTGACTTGCATCTAATTTATCATTGAATATTACCCATAAATCACACATTAAGGTTGCGATAATAGAGAAAATGATCACCAACTAAAGAGGCTCCCTAAACATTCATCGAAATTAATTAGCATGGCACTAAGGAAAAATTGATTGAATTTAAGAAAAAATGTTTTGTTAGTCGAAGAGGTCTGTTCAAGCCGACTCGGAAACTGACCGGCGCACAGACTTTTTTTTTTTATTGGGAGACGTAATCGATATCTATTCATACGTCACTGATCTGTATTACCTGCGTGGGGCATGGCAATCCGGTTTTCCAGTTGTAGCTCATATTATCCTTCACCGTGAGTGCTGTTGCTAAACCCTTTAGCATCTAAGTTCTCCCAACAGTATAACCCCTGCATCACACAGTAAGGTTGTGAGAACAAGGGAAATGAGCACCAACTAAGTATTCTCTTGATTGATAAACAAATTCTCCTTGTTAACATCTTAAGAATTGTATAGAATGCAGTATGGAGATTATGAACACTGATGTTAGGGTTAAACTGTTGTGCCTCCTAAACGCTGTGTCAATCAATCTCTCTCCTTTACAAGACTCTTTCAACTTCCATCTCTTGCTTCCCCTTCCCTGCTCATTGGGGTAAACTGAAGACATGACACAAATCTGAGGTAAGGAATGGAGGGAGGTGGAGGTAAAAAAAATTGATAGTTTTCTTTATTCTCATCACTTGTCTGGTTGATATTGTATTGATATTTTAAGGAGAAATTCTGTCTTGGTCACCCATGAGAGTAAAAGGGTTAAAAAGGTGGGAAGCTTGTATATTCCAGATCCAAGGACAAATATATATATATCTAACCTTATGTCAACTCACAATTAATAAGCCTATACCACTGACATATTTGAGAGTACTAGATTTTGCAAATGCTTTTGGAGTTTAAATTGACCTAGGAAATTAAAATCTTTTTAAGGGGTGAGTTTAATTGCTGGTGTGCTTTCCGACAGACTCTTTCAAATTATTTCTTCCTCGTATTCAACAGGCAAGAACTTAAACAAAAATCAAATCTGTATGCTTCTTCTTCTATCACCCACTTCATTCTCTGCTCAGACATTGGAATTAAAATGAATGAGCTGACCCTATCAATTGTCATTTTAGTAAAAAACCCTCAAGGCAAATTAATAAAAAAAATATCTATGTTTATTAGCTCTATAAATTTGTCAACTTTCTTGAAGTTAACATTACTGTGTCATGTGTTAACTAACTATTCCCACAATTTTTTCAATCTTTTACCTTAACCGAGTACTGAGGCCTTTATCTTCCCCTCCTATGGTATGGCGGCTCAGGCGTCTTCCTGTTTCACCAAACACCACAGGCTCAACACCCAGTGAGAAACTGATTAACGAAATCACTCCCCACACCTTTCGCCAGTATTAAACGACCTTTTTCATCTCTTGTCTTAAACCTTTAACCCCTAAGAGTGATAACCATCTAACTTCTCCCAACAGAATCGCCCCTGAATCAAACACGAAGGTCAGGAGAATGAAGGAAACGATTGAGAATACAATAAGCTCTTGATTGTTAAACAAATTCCCCTCGTAAGTATTACAGGAAAGATGGAGAACGGTATGGAAATTGATGTATGGAGGTCAAGGGTTGAGTGATTAAAAAATTGGAATTAATAAAGGAACAAACACAAATCCTGCATAGGACGTTCGACAGCTACAGCTACACGTGTATCACACGTTCCACGTAAAATGACACGTTTTAAAGTTTTCCAAAGTTAATTATTGGTCAGCTCCTCGACGTCAAAGGCTGGTTTTCAATAGCGACGATTTGGAAGAGAAATTCTGACTACTTCTGTCATCCTGAATCCCAAATCACGCATCCCGTTTGCTAAATCACGTACCCCGAATCCCGTATTTCTCTAATTTTCAATATTGAATGTCGAAAGTAATCCGTGGTTGTTTAAGTTTTCCTTCTCTTTGCTCTGTGATTGGTCCGTAGCGCTCGCGCCATCCTTTCAATCAATAAGCTTCAAAACTAAAAACAAACGCGACTTGGTCATTGGCGTTTTCCCGCGCTTCACACAGTTTGCTTGTTTTTACTTCGAGTTCTCATTGGTTCTTGGTGACATTTTCTTGGCTTTGACTTCTGCGATTGCTTTGCTTTTGGTGTGACGAAACTCTATCGAAAAGTGCTGTAACGACTTCGACTCCGACGTTAGCGAAAACCAGTCTTAACAGGTCATCCCTTCGATGACGCCGGTTGACTAAAACTACCTGAATTATTCCCCCTTGGCTTTCTTCTTCAGTAATGCCTACAAACTTCTTATAACAATAAACAGAGAGAAGAAGAGAAAAAAAGAAAAGAAAACGAATAAAGAATTCCGATTGTAAAACTCAGTCGACGTGGTCATCGGGCAAATTTCCAACGACACCACAAATATACTTCATCTGATGAAATAATTTCTATCCCTAATATACTAAATAGATCTATAAAAGTTAAAAAATGTAAGTCTGTTTTGTCTTGTTCTTTTTTTAACATCCAACTGAGAATGCATGTCTTTTCTCCTCCTGTTCTTTCGCTTCTTACGCCAGGTTAAATCAGGCAAAGAATCAAAAGGAATACTCTTAAAACTCATCGTGTAAATAGCCAGCGTAATTAGCCATTGTACTCCCAGTGAAAAGTTGGTAATTCATAAGTACTTCCTTCTCTGATAGCTGATCGTCGCGATTTCTGTCTGCCATTGACACCAAATAATTGCCTTCGTTGATGGCCCGCTGTTTGTGAGTGGGATCCAGGTATTTGGTCAGTTCATCTACGGTAACTACACCGTCTCCATCTTCATCCATAGCAACGAATTCATCTTCGCGTCTGAAGTAAACGAACGAATGAAAGATAAGGTTAAGAAACGAATACTAAAAAGGCGCTGGATATTTTGTAGCCAAAGCATGCTCTCACAAGCCTAGTATTACTTAATTGCGGAATCATTTCAACGTTTTCCAACATGAAGTAAAACAGGGTCTGGCTGGTCTTACTCAACCCTAGGTACATGCGCTTATTCAACCCTCTACACTCTAAAATCAGTATCCATATTCCCAATACTGTTCTCTATACAGTTCCTGAGGTGCTGACAAGGAGAATTAGTTCAATGATCAAGAGTTTCTTTAGTTGGTGATCATTTCCTTTATTCTCGAGACCTTGACGTTTGATTCAGGGGTGATATTGTAAGGAGAAATTAGATGCTAGTCACTCTGACTGTCTTTCAGGTCAAACGGTTAATTGCTGGATCATTTCAAAGTTTGCCTAACATAAAAACCAGTTTGACTGGTAGTACTCTGAGGTGAGTTTCACCCACCAAGAGTACCACCCATGGTACATGCAATAAATTACGCCCCACCCGAGTGAAAAAAAGGCACTGAGATATTAAAAGAGTCCCATGCCTATTCAGAGATCCAGGACACATCTTGGCAAATTAAGGGGTAAATTTTTGGTTCAGTGATTTCTGGGTGAAAATTATAGCTGATATCTTTGCTTTTCACAGCAGGGGAAGACTGGGGAGAGAAAAGAAATGAGTACCAAGAGGGTGAGCAACTGTTAATGGGAAGGAAAGGGGAGGGGGAGGGTAATTTTGTCTTTCTGTCCCCTCCCCTCAATGTCCACTCTAACTCTAAATCAAACATGGCTGGCTGGCTGGATAGAGCAAGCTTATAACATAAACTCATCCTAGATAGACAACTGCACCACATGCTTTAAAGAACCATAAGATACAAAAAGTAGTGTTGTGCTTACTCCTTACGGTAGTCCTCATCAAGGTCAGCATCTTGCTGTGTATCCACCTCTCCTGGTGGCAGTTGCGCAAATTCCTCTTTGGTCAGGACCTGGATGAAACACATGCAAGAAATGCAAGATTCAACTTGATATGCTTTGTCCTGTTAGAGAACTCTGAGTAAAAGCAACTACTTTGTGACAAAAATGTATCATACTTTAATTTCAGTTATGGCTGAATCATACCAATAGATGAATTACTTTACACCTAGATAAGAATGAGAGAATCCCTTTTTTTTGTTGATCCTGCAATTATTACAGCTGAATATTATGACCCAATGCATGGCCCAGTTTCCTGCTAACTCCTGCTAAATTGTGGCAATTGGTTGAACAGCCAAATGCAAAAAACATTTCATGTTAAACCACTCACAAGAATTAGATTTTTCTCTCCAACAAGATCCTCAACAATGAATTTCACCCCTGCCATATTTTGTTTTTATATTCATTTGCTCAATTATTCTTCATCATTAAAATTGATTTCCATAAATTCAATATTATGCAAGGTAAGACTTGCCAATAAGTGGGTTTTTTTAGCTTTTAAATTTTGGAACAAATACCTAAAGTTTAACAGTATAAAACTGGTAATTAATACAATCATTACAGTTATTTGCTTTTTCTTGTTCTTAAATTTAAAAATGAACTGCCAAAACCGCAATATTATGTGTAAAATTTACACATAATAATGATACTGGCATAATGCATTTGTTGAGAGAGGCTAGTTGAAAGAAAAGGGAAATTAAAAAAAGGAAATAAATAAAATTAAATGATACCTTGTCTTGGTTTTTGTCAAAATTTTGTATCATGTCTTCTACCAAATCTTTTATACTCTGTGGATTGTGTTCAGGGTGCTCAAAGTAAAGGAACTCTGTTTCATCCAGCTTGTCATCCATGTTCAAGTCCCCTCTTCTGAATTTGTCATGGTACTCAACTATTGGGTCCTGGGGTTCACCAACATCATCTAATATGTGTAGATCAAACAGAAGAGAATTTACAAATAGACAGTGGTTTGACAGGGTCTGTACTCTTATTGACAATGATATTCACTATCACCGTGGTCAAAATGTCGTGGACAGCAAGTGAGTCTTCAACAAACTACCACAAAATCTACATCAAATAAAATGATTCTTTTGGTGAATGACCATTGCATGACACATGTGAACAGCATTGTCTGTACTCTTGTCAAAATTTGCAAATTGGCAAATTGGCCAATCAGATTGCAATAGTACTGCCAATTGTGGTAAAATATAGGTTAGGTACACTGGAAATCTTTGTCCTTGCAGTACCTGGAAAAAATTTTGCCGTCTTTAGTTAGCAGCGTAATTTAACAATTTGATAACCTCTGTTTCACAGTCATGTAGCAAGTTATCAACCCTCTCACTCCTCAGAGAAAATACAGCATCCAATTTCTCCATATAATATCACTTTTGAATCCAACAAGGGTCATGAGAATTAAGGAAATTATCACCATTTTAGGATGCTATGAAGTGTGTAAGGGGTGTACGATGTACATTGTAAAGAGCTAATGTAAATTTCTTAGGGTCTGCAGTCAACTTGAGAAAAATATTTTCATAAAATATAAATCAATTTTTGTTTACTTCTGTAAATCTTTGCCTTTTCCCCCTTCGTTAACATTACTTTTTTTTTCCTTTTCTTTTTTTTTATTTATTTATCTTTTTTGGAAGACACTGTTGTGACAAAGATACAGGGGTAGGGAGGGGAGTGGGGGGTATTTTTTTTTTTTTTTTTTATGACTGGTTAGCTTTTTTTCTGGAAGTGTTGCATCAGTTGTATGAGCAATTGTGTGTTTAGCTTAACAGCTGTAAAGCTGTAGATTGTACATGGAAATAAATACCGTGCATTTCACCAATTTCGATTGCCTTCTATATTTCATATCCATGATTTTTGAAGATCGAATCTTTTTTCTGCTGTGACTCACCTAATTCTTTTTCGACCTCGATCTTCCGAGTGGCATTAAGTTCTTTTAGCTTCTCTTGAAATTCATTCCATGTAACGACGCTGTCGCCGTTTTTGTCCGCTTCCTTAAACTTTCGCCTATTGTTTTCGCGAGCTTCTTGAACGTGCTCTCTGATTTTCCCGTGAATCCACTCTATCATTTCAGGCCGGCTGATCAAATGATCCCCGTCCTTGTCTACTTGATGGAAGAGGTCGATAAGCCGCCTGTAACCATCCATATTGTCGAACAACAAAGTGCCATTCTCTACCATTTTCCCGAGGAAAGCTTCGTGATGGTAATCTTTGTTAACATGGCCATCTCGTTCAAGTTTCACGCCTTTTAAGTGATCTTCCAGAAAAAGTTTTTCCTTCTTTATCTCATTTGCCTTTTCAGGGTCGAGGGTTCTGCTAGTGTTGAACGGCTTGCTGAAACAAGCTGGTAGGAAGATTAGTATGAAAACAAGAAACCCTTTCATGACCGCCATCTTGCGACGACGGACAGATTCTCGCCCCAATCTCCTTTCATCACCGTCGACGTGTAAGTTTAACTCAGACCCCTTTGACCGAGCACTTGGCTCACAGTGGAGTTTCGAGTCCAAAGATAAGAAATTTCCAAACCTGAATAACACAGCTGCAACACAGCATCTTACAATGTGTTCGAATATATTTGAATTGAAAGCAGAGTAATTTCCCAACAGCGTCATGAAATTAAAATTTAGTTTCATCCGGTAATGAGTCAAAAAAGACTAGATCCATTTTACTTTTCGCCAATTTTTCACAATATATGTGTGAGGTAGAAAATGAAAAAAAAAGAAAAAAAAAATTGAAAAGTCCTCTCTAATAATTTGAAATAAGGAGAGTTATCTCAAGCTAAAACTGCTCGAGAAGAAGTTCATTTGTCATTTCATTATTGGAATCACTGAATTTAGTTGTCAAAATAGTGGGTTTAGAAAGAGAAAAAGACTGATCTGTAAATGAAGCATGCCGCTGAAATCTGAAATCTAACCGACTGACTTATTTTAGTATTTCATTTTTATTGAATAAATCTCACCGCCGAGAACCAATCAGAATGTAATAACATGATGGGTGTTCTATTTGGAACAATGGAATATCAGTTTATGTGTTCATCTTGAAAGGCGTGGGGAAATAGTTAGGGACGACGAGAACAATTGACAAATGCGTTTCTATTTGGCAATACGATTTATAAAATTTCTAACATGCATTTGAACTGATAGGTCACTCCTTGGTTTTTTTTTTTTCTTTTTGCGCGGCAAAAATGAAAGAGTGCAAGCAGATTAATCAAAACTGTTACGCAAGAAACGACAGCTCCTTACTTTCTTTGATAGAAAGTAGACCAAGATTGTAGTTCAGGTTATAACAAAATTGTATCCCAGCTATAAAAAGTTCAGAGACATCATCCCATTCAGGCTGTGAAATATGCTCCTTTATTTTTTTTAATTTCGACTAAAAACGGGTTTAGAGTTTTTGAGGACAGAAGTTAGACGCCCTTTAAAGTTTTACATGATGTTGGTAAATACTCGCTGCTCGCTTAAGACTAGTTTCGATTTTTAGCCCGAAGCAAATTGGATTACTGCTCCCTTTCAAGCATGTATTAATCTTTTTGTTCCTAAATTACTTCTTTTAAAAGCCAAAACGCGGGAATTACTTTACGCGTTTGCAACCCTTCCATCGCGCCTTCTTGCTCCTTAGGCTTGAGGATGATTTTGGCCTGACTCAAATGGCGGCTCCTTTTCAGCTTTTTTCTTCATCACACGTGTGCGGTAGATCAAAACGCCAACAGCGAAGATCATAAGCAGCACCATGACGCTGCCCAGAGTAGCAAAGACAATCAAGTGGCTTCCTCCATTTTGCGAACGTACTGCCTCCGTGATTGTGCCTGCCTGCTGCTTACTCACATCGCCTCCCAAGTTGGGGAACTCTCTCTCAACTATGGTCGCATATCTCCTGTTGACATGACTGTGCACGAACTCTTCCATAACAGTTTCAAACTCCTGGCACTCGCCTTCTCGTGTGCACTGCAGCAGCTGTTGGCAAATTTGGGGAAGCTGCTCTAGCCAGCTGGGCACCTTTGCAGTCTTGTTGTCATGGTATGCGGAGGTGTCAAACCAGAAGTAGCCTGTACGATTGAAGACACCTCGTATAGCTTGCATTAAAGTAAAATATTCGCTCAAGCTCAGTACAGAGCGCGGGCAGAAAGCGGTGCTGATGGGGGTAAAGGCCTTACCATAGTTGTTCACCATTGCATCGCAGTCAGTGGCAAGTGTGTACACTGGGCCGTTCTTAACGTCTCCCCTCTTGCCGTACGGGTGGACATTATAAAGCCCTAGGACCATGTGGTCTTCAGTGAACCCATCGTGAGTGGTCTTGTTCTGGCCGCCTGCTGAAGGGAAGACTGCTTCCACCTTGCACCATAAAGCCTCGTGCATGGAATCTGTGATTTGAATTCCTCGGATTAAGTCCCCGTTGGAAAGATCTTTGACCCTGACGTCTTTTACTCGACCGTCAGAATCCTTCTTTGGCACCATCATGTCAGCAGAAACACAGGCACCACCATCTGATGGGATAGCGATATTGACATCTCCGACGGTGATAACTGTGTTGTCATCACCATTGATGGTGATACTCACACCACCATCCCCTTCCTCCTCCTCTTCCTCCTCTTCCTCCTCTTCCTCCTCTTCCTCCTCTTCCTCCTCTTCCTCCTCTTCCTCCTCTTCCTCCTCTTCTTCTTCGTCATCCTCGTCCTCGTCTTCGTCCTCGTCCTCGTCCTCCTCGTCATCTTCGTCATCCTCGTCATCTTCGTCATCCTCGTCCTCCTCGTCCTCGTCCTCGTCCTCCTCGTCTTCCTCGTCCTCCTCGTCCGCGTCCTCCTCTTGAGCGCGTACCTCAGCTCTGAACGCCATGACGCAAAGCCCCAGCAAGAGATACAGGATCAAACGAGACATCTTGTTCCAGTCCTGCAAATCGACAAGGAAAAGACAAATGAATAAAGGGGGTAAATTTCTAAAACAAAACTGTGGCGCTGCGTCAGTGGGGGAGTATAACAGGGTAATTTGGTATTATCAACTGTACATAAGCCACCCTTAAAAAAGTTTCAAACCTGACGTTTCGAGCGTTAGGCCTTCGTCGATCAGAGCGAATGGAGGAATTGTGGTTTGCGAGTGTGTTTATATGCAGAAAAGGAAGGGAACACTAACGTATAACTTTTTTGCAATTAGTGCAAGTTATGCAACTGATGACATTGGCGGAGGCGCAAGTGAAGTGATTAGTAACCTTAATGATTCGTTTGGGTCCCGATATTTTCTCAACGTTATGAATTAAAGGACAATTTTTATCATCGTGCGCGAGTGCGTTTGAAAGTTCCAAGACTTTGAAGAAAATGCAAAAATGAAAATGATGATAGAGATGGTGAACTTGAAACTCTTGAACAATATTGAGGCGTCCTACAAGAAGTAAACCTGAGAAATTTTATCGATCGAAAGTCAGCTGGGAACGGGAATAAATGTATGGTGAACATATTCATTTCACCAGATCAGTCAATTATTATATCGGTCAAGGAATATGCACAGTCTCCATTGACCATTTCACTCTAAAGTGTCCTAAATAATCAGCACTCAGCAATGACAAATGAGACCAATGTCAGCTAGGGAAATCGTTGTAATCTGGCATCAAATTCTCCGGAATAGCCAGCAAGGAATATCTTTTTATCGGTTTGGAAAATCAATCTCAGATTTTCTGAATTGAAGGGGCTATAAGAATGAAGAATATCAGATGAAAATTGTGGATAAGTCTATTAACTTCGTCTCGGCTGGGAAGAATAAAAGCATCCATCCTTGCATTCATTTGTACATTTTTACTCCAAACTTACCGGGAAAAACGAATCCAAGTCTTGGTACTTTTTCCCTAAATCAGCGCTCTTATTAAGTATTTGCAAGTCTGTTTTGTATTTAAACTGATTGTTTTCTTTTAAATTCATGGTAAAACTTTTGTTTCCGAACTCAGCCCAATTCTTTTATATGCCATCTGTTGACGAACATATTTTGTGAGATTTTTGCGAAAACGAAAGGTCATTGAATTTTCTAGGAACAAGGAAATTAGCGATAGAAAGTTCATAAATTTTTGAGGGACGAACAAAACGAAACAAACAATAAAAAAAAAGAAGGAACCAGACGAACAAACTATTTCAGTTTTAAGTTTACAATCTACGCTGTAGAGCTGTTCACAGGGCACCTAGATATACTTTTAACAAATTACGCAACAGGCACCTATTGAATTAATGCAATCGCCACAATTTGTTGCGCGAAATATACACGATTAACTAGCGTAATGTGTGTTAAATGGAAGCAAGAAGAGGTGTTCGTACCTATTCACTCAAGAGAACTCAGTTTGTGTCAGCTGCTGAAGACATGGAATTGATCAAACTTCACAGGTTTGCTATTTTTCAAATGGAGCAACGTCTTATATAGGCGTAGACTGCGACAAATTGGCGCCTCTTCTGACCCGGGCCAATATACTTAAAGACACCGTTTGCATGTCAACTGCTCACCAATGCCACCGTAGTCCTATATCACTACTTCTTATCTACCTCGGGGTTTATAAGCGCATCAAACGGCAACATCAATCTAAATGCTAAAAAACCTGTTCGGAGTCTACTGCTTTCAAAGATTGTTTCATGGTTTAAAGTCTATTTAAACGTTAAAAAATCTAAATAGCAGAGTACCGTTACAACTATGGACAAAATGACGTCAAGAAACAAGTGTCATGTTGAGGAATTAATTGAGGCCTGAGATACTGCAGCAAATAAAACACTTAAGGGTTAACGCCGTTAAATTACAAGATTCCTCAACTTTGTATTGTTTGATATGGAGAGGCAATATTTGCAACTGAAAAAGAAAGTAAACAAATCCATTTTGTACTTTCGTTGCTCGGTGATGGTTAGAAATTGATCAAGAACGAAGGAAAATATCTATTACTTTTAACACCTGGCCTTTTGAAGAACTAAGTCTTCAAAACATGAGTTTTTGAAGAAACTTTTTAGGGGAGTAATGATTTCAGCTACGTGTTTTTTTTCCCATTTGTTTGTCGGTCAAATAGTTGCACTTATGTTTTCCATTAAAGCACTTTGGTTCCGAGTATGTTTTTCGTAGAGCAAATATCCGCACCAGCTCAAGTAGTTTTAAACGAAGTATATTATAAACAAGCCTATTTTGCAAGGGTTGGGTTGATATTAAAAAAAAAAAAAAAACATCGTTAGTTTCTATTGGTTGATTGATCTAGGTAAAATCAATTTACACCCTTTTAGAAAAGCCCATCGGCCAAGATTGTAGTTTGTTATCTCGAGGTGGCAATATGAACCCTTCTGTAATGCTCTTGTTATGAACACTTGAGGAATTTTTTAAATTCATAATAATCAAGCTTGGTGGTCAAAGTTAAAGTTTAACAGTTACCGCAAAAAAAATAATGTTCAATCGATCGGAAA